ATACCATTAACTCCGCACACCCCGTTGGACAAATAATTCAATTATGGTGTCTTATGGGCATATGATTGCATACAGACCCAAGATTTAAGAATGAGGGAATTGACATATTCATATCAGCTATTATAGACATTGATTATATATATATATACATATTATACTCTAGCTGGGGGTACTACAGAAACAAACGCAGATGATCCCGCATGTATATTTATACTGAGTAAATATGGTGGATGGAACACTTAGAATGCAGTCTCCCAAGGGTCCAATAGGAATGTAAGCAGTAATAAATTGAATCCTCTGATTATATATATATATATTGGTATTTTATAACCCGGTTTTTCTACATACAACCCCGTAGCAACTACACATTCACCGTAACCATCCACCGACCAGGTTGCATCCACGGCAGCACCAGCTTCCTCAGAGGATCGCACTGAGGTGAGAATGTAACATAAATCTGGGATAAAAAAGAACAATTATAAATATATATATATATACATACATACATACATACATACTTACATACATACATACATACATATGTTTTGCATTTGAAATCTGATGTATTTCATTTTTTGAAGGGTCAATGTATTATGATGCACAATTTTGATTTTCCAGCTGGAGTTGCAACAGCCAAAACACCAGTCCTGATGTTGGTTGGATCACTTAGAATGCTCGGTTCCCTCCCGTCAGGCCCCAGCGGCTCCAGAGGGACATGATCGCGAAGAGGCTTGACACCGTTTTGATTGTTGATCTCTTCAAACAAACAACCTTGAGAAATACGGAATACCCTCCGTGCGCCCCGTATGGGGGCCAGTAATTCCATGATGGTGTCTTATGAACATATGATAGCATCCAGACCCTAAGATTTAAGAATGGGGGAATTTACATATTCATATCAGCTGTTATAGACATTGATTATATATATATACATATTATACTCTAGCTGGGGGTACTGCAGAAACAAACGCAGATGATCCCACATGTATATTTATACTGGGTAAATATGTTGGATGGAACACTTAGAATGCAGTCTCCCACGGGTCCAATAGGAATGTAAGCAGTAATAAATTGAATCCTCTGATTATATATGTATGTATATATAGGTATTTCATAGCCCGGTTTTTCTACATACAAACTCCGTATCAACTACCCATTCACCGTAACTATCCACCGACCAGGTTGCATCCACGGCAGCACCAGTTGCCGCAGAGGATCGCACTGAGGTGGGAGTGTGGCACAAATCTGGGACAAAAAAGAACAATTATATGTATATATATATATATTTATATATATATATGTGTTGTATTTGAAACCTGATGTATTTCTTTTTTTGAAGGGTCAATGTATTTTGATGCACAATTTTGTTTTTCCAGCTGGAGTTGCAACAGCCAAAACACCAGTCCTGCTGGTGGTTGGATCACTTAGAATGCTCGGTTCCCTCCCGTCAGGCCCCAGCGGCTCCAGAGGGACATGATCGCGAAGAGGCTTGACACCGTTTTGATTGTTGATCTCTTCAAACAAACAACCTTGAGAAATACAGAATACCCTCCGTGCGCCCCTTATGGGGGCCAGTAATTCCATGATGGTGTCTTATGACATATGATAGCATCCAGACCCAAGATTTAAGAATGGGGGAATTTACATATTCATATCAGCTGTTATAGACATTGATTATATATATATATATTATACTCTAGCTGGGGGTACTGCAGAAACAAACACAGATGATCCCACATGTATATTTATACTGGGTAAATATGTTGGATGGAACACTTAGAATGCAGTCTCCCACAGGTCCAATAGGAGTGTAAGCAGTAATAAATTGAATCCTCTGATTATATATGTATGTATATATAGGTATTTCATAGCCCGGTTTTTCTACATACAAACTCCGTATCAACTACCCATTCACCGTAACTATCCACCGACCAGGTTGCATCCACGGCAGCACCAGTTGCCGCAGAGGATCGCACTGAGGTGGGAGTGTGGCACAAATCTGGGACAAAAAAGAACAATTATATATATATATGTTTATATATATATGTTTATATATATATATGTTGTATTTGAAATCTGATGTATTTCTTTTTTTGAAGGGTCAATGTATTCTGATGCACCATTTTGATTTTCCAGCTGGACTTGCCACAGCCAAAACACCAGTCCTGCTCATGGTTGGATCACTTAGAATGCTCGGTTCCCTCCCGTCAGGCCCCAGCGGCTCCAGAGGGACATGATCGCGGAGAGGCTTGACACCGTTTGGATTATATATATATATTTATATTCATGTTTTTTTCAAAAATAAATATATATATATATGTGTGTGTGTGTGTGTTATAGTCTAGTTGGGGGTACTGCAGAGATAAACACAGATGATCCCACATGTATTTGTACTGGGTAAATGTGGTGGATGGAACACTTAGAATGCCAATCCGGATTCGGACATGATCTGGGTCCAATAGGAATGTGAACAGTATATATATATATGTATATAGGTATATATTCCATAGCCCGTTTTTTCTACATACAAACCCCGTATCAACTACCCACTCACCGTAACCATCCACCGACCAGGTTGTATCCACGGCAGCACCAGTTGAGGATCACACTGAGGTGGGTGTGGTATATATAAATAACTATATATATATATATGTGGACGAATGTATTTTTGTGTACAAAATGATGCTATGCATTCCTGATAACCATGGCCATATGACCAGACAGGTAGACAGCGACAATGACGACATGCAACTGGCCCACATGTTGCAATGCTTCCACCCTGAGGCACATTGAGATTTAGCGTCTAATACTTGGTCAGCTATATGGTTCGTGAAAGCTTCTCTGTTGATATTGATTTTCAGCTCTTTTTATGTCTCAATCGGCCTTATATATATAATTATATGTGTTGCCTCTGCAGGCGACACCAGTGAGCGACGACCCATATGTTGGATGTGATCTTTTTTCGCCCACAGATTCAGAACCCAAGGACATTGTGTCTGTTTTGCTTCTGACAGGGTCAAGGCGAATTTTCTATGCATATATTTATATATATCTTTATATATATATATATATCTCTTTATATACACATATATGTATATGTATGCGTATATTCACATATTTGTTGTGCATTCTAAGTGTACGACAGCACATGCGGCGCCATGTCCACGCAGGAGGAGCCTTTGGAAGCCATTCCTGTGAGCCTTTTTCAGGGAGTGCACATGAAAAATCAAAAATATTGTGGCTTATTGGTGCAGGAACAATGGGCCATACAGTTCCTAGCTCCCAAGGAGTCTCGCAAGGTATACGAAATTCGGAAGAATCCTTTGAAAATGCTGAATACGGGGGACAGAATCATTTTGGTGTCCATGCGAAAAGATGAGGTTGCAGGAAGGGTTCGAGAATGCATTGCCATCTTGGAATACCAGGGATGCACAAGTATCAGACACGAAGACTTTGCAATGTTTTTTTCTCTTCACCGGGTTCCAGACAGATCGTATCAACAAATGCGTAATGAGTGGAAGGGCGATCCGGGACATTGTTGGGCGTGGCACTTTCGACTGGTTCATGAGCTACAACCCAGATTACGCATTCCACGTGATCTCTCTTCTGGTTGTGAGCAATGCTTTTTGTATGTGGATGTTGAGCGTCTGGAAAGAGTCTCCACTGATTCAAAACCTTTGATGTATGATGGGAGCAACAACCTTGTCCAGTGCGAAGATCTTGCAAACCATCTACTTGATCATGGTCATTCGCATTCTTCAGAGCAATCTACTGTAGCACATGATGTCTGGGAGCAATCTCTTGTCCCGGAAGCTGCTGAAATGGCACATGATTTGGACGGTGATATGGAACCCCAAGAAGAGGAAGAAGAGGATGCCTCTGTTTGTGAGAGCCCTAGATGCGACCCTGAGGGCCCTAGTTCCGTTCATGGGGAGTTGTCTTCACTGTCTGAGTCTGAGGAGCATTACTGTATCATTCTACAAGAGAAGGAATGGTTGAATTTGCTCAAGGGGGGCTCTGGCTTTTTGAGATCATTCAAAATTGCCAAGTCTTCAAGGCTGATTGCCATACTGAAGAAAGAAATTGGGTACTATGCGGTTGCCTTTTTGTGCGTTTCCGCATGTGAGACCTTTTCATTGAGAAGTATGCCCTCGTTGTCCAATGTCTATGGCCGGGATCAGGTGCAACACATGAAATCATGGAAGAATGTGTTTCACATTCAGCTGAGTGAGATCGAGAAATTTGATGTCGAGAACGCAATATCCTTTGTCAGCAACAAGCACAGAAATCGTCTTTTCAAATTGAGTACGACCCAGCTTTGCAAAGGCGTTTCAAGGGCACCAGCAGCCATGAACTTGGCTGAAACAGCCCGATACTTTATGGATTGCTGTGGGGATGAGGGTCGCTCAGAGATTCTCAGGCGAGTTCAGCAGTTGAACCAGAGCGGCAAGACCAAACTGCGCGTGGCCACAGCCTGCTCTGGCTCCGACATCTGCATCACTGTACTGGAACAAACTATTGCATACCTCAACACACAGCAGGCGCGATACACTTAGAATGCGTTCAGCCATTCCCACACACAGACACCCGCCCATATATATATATATATAGTATGTATATATATATATATACATATGTTGAAATTATATATATATATGTTTTCGTTCTTGTTTTGCTGAGCCCCCCAGGGAACCAACATTGAGATTGAGCAGATATTCGCCGTTGAAAAGGATGCAAAGACACTTGTCAGTTGCATTGCGGTGGAGCGTTTCTATTGTATGCGTTTATGTGCATATATATATATATATATATGTAAATAAATATATAAATCAATAGATATATATATATGTATGTATAGTCGAGTATAAATAAATAAATAAATATATATATATATAAATACATATATATATGTATAGTTTTTGGTTCAATGAGGCAAATTGTTTTTTTTCCCATTTTGGAGTTCAATGCGTGCCGTTCCCATAAGGAAACGAGACTTGATCATGCGAGAGCACCCCAACATACGCCACGTATTCGAGGATGTTCTTATCTTCAAGGACATGAAAGGACAATGCGTCAAGATGGGACTCACTGTGAATTTGAATGACCCAGAGTTCGAAACCGACATTTTCATTTGTGGGCCTAGTTGCAAGGGCCTATCCAAGCTCAACGCATCTAGGGCCAGTGACTTCGGATGCTATGAACGCGAGGAAGAAGATCAGTCTGGAACATCGGGTCCAACATACCACTATGGTTTCAAACTGGTTTCTTGACAATCTTTACCAATATGTACATATAATTATATATATATATGTGAATTTAAAACGTAATTCTCCCTAATTCTAAACGTTCACCTCCCTGATAATAAACACGACAGGTAGTTTTTAGTATTAGGGATGTATTTAATATTAGGGAACCCTAATACTAAATTAAAACCCTTAATAGAAACTATTTTTTTTCGATTTCAAAATCAATTTAATTTCTTTATATAATCAATTAAAATATTACCAAAAATTGGATTTCGAAGCTTCCCCCTAATACTAAATTAAAACCCTAATCAAACTATTTTTTTCGATTTCAAAATCAATTTAATTTCTTTATATAACGCAATTAAAATATTGTCAAAAATTGGATTTCGAAGCTTCCCCCTAATACTAAATTAAAACACTCAATAATAACAACTTATTTTGTCCGATTTCAAAATCAATTCAATTTCCTTATATAAAGCAATTAAAACATGTCAAAAATTGGATTTCGAAGCTTCCCCCGAATACTAAATTGAAACATTTATATAATATTTTTTTTTTTGATTTCAAAATCAATTTAATTTCTTTATATAATGCAATTAAAATATTGCCAAAAAATTGATTTCGAAGCTTTCCCCTAATACTAATCACCCCGGGGCTGACTAGTTTTTAGTATTATATATATAGGGGAGGAAACCCACAAATGGTACGTTGATTTTTAAATTATTTTCTAAAGGAGATCAATTAAAAATTAAATTGATCAAACTGAAATTTTCAGAAATTGGAGATGAATGTATGTTTTTTTAGTATTTGGGGGACGTGTAGCAATAGGGAGAGGGGATTATATATGTAGTTATATATATATATATATGTATGTGTGTTCAATATAAGTAGTACAATTTGGGCGGCCCTTTGGATCAGGTCATTCTAAGTGTTAACTCCCCTGATATTATTTCTATGTATGTTATTATATATATATATGTATGGAATGTCCCGGAAGCTCAGGCAGTGGAGAACCTATGTCCCGTTTTTGCCATCTATGAGAATGTGATTGGTGCCACGGAATGTGCACAGCTCCCTTCCGGGAAAGTGCTGGAATCACCGGTTCAAGTTGTCACCAAACACATGAAAGAAGCGGGGTACAACTTTGTGCCTTGCTTGTCTCAATGTAAATGGTGCGGTTTGTTTGTTTCTTGTGTGTATATCTATATATATATATATGGCAATATCATTGTAGATACGATTATATATATATATAGAGATGCAACAGACACATTCTATGTGTTCCCATCCTGCCAGGTATGGAAAAAGGTTGATTCGCAACACTATGGGCTGCGCCAACGTCGGTGTAGGGTCTGGGGATTGGCCGTCCTGAACACTGGTGGAGGGAGCCAGTCTGATTTGAATGAACGTTTCGATTTCCTGCTACATTCCATGCAGTCCAACTTCCAGTTCCCTATGTCTGAAGTTTTTCAGAAGAAAGCAGAGGAAAAGCCAAAGGAGGGACGGCATGACCAACTAGTGAACTTTTCACGGAATGTTTTTGCCGGCAATCAAAATGTATTCGTTGACTGCTCCACAAGCATGAGAAACCACATTCATGCTGCTGATGTTTGCACCTGCATCACCCCGGGTCATCCTGTTTACTCAACCGAGTTGAAACGGTACTTGACTGGGAGAGACTTCCTGATGTGCCAGGGTCTTTGGCCAAGCTGCTGGTCTTCTGATGTGTTCCAACAGTTGGTTTCTGATCCCAAATTTGCTCAAGACATTGCGGGAAATAGTTTTTCCTCAACTGTATGTCAAGCCGTGGTACTGACTATGTTTGGGTGCGGGCAAAATGCTTGGAATACTCTCACACGGACTGTTTCAGCGCCTTCGGCACCTTCAGCCCAGCCACCAGCAGTTGTTCGAAGAGTACGTGCAAAGCGGCCAGCCCCAGAGTTTGACCATTTGGTGAACCATCCACCCAACAAAAAAGGGAAGGTAGAGCCAAAGCCCAGAAAGAATAACCTCAAAAGGAAACGTCGTCAAGCCTACAGACGCAAAGTTCCAGGTGTTGACGGTAGAACGAGGCATGCGGAGAGCTCCAAGCCCAGAGGCAAGAAAATCATGGCAACGATTTGGCAGAAGGAAATGGTGTAAGAGACTTAGTTGTCCACCGTGTAAAACAATCCAGGCTCAATACAATTGTCTCAGTTTCATTTCAGATTGTATATATATATATTATATATATATATGTATACACACACATGGACAATATAGACATCAGGTGAGGGGTACATATTCTAAGTGTAAAACTCATTGCATCTGAGGATGCAGGCATTCGACAAGGCAAAGGCCGACCCAAACATCGATCAGCCATATAAATATGTGCAAGACCAGAAGCTACGTGGATGGTACCGATGCTGTGTGTACAAGTGGAAAAATACACGAAAACGAGACCATTGGACGTTGCTATGTACCGCATCAGCCAAGTTGGCCAAGACCTACAAAGAGCTGCCAACGTATTGCGAAAAATGCTGGGCCATGAAATGAAATTCAGCAGAAGGACTTCGGGGGTTGATCCTGCATCCACCTGCACACTGCCATCTACCCTCCTGAATGAAGTGTCATCAATGGTGGATCCTAGTTTGAAGGAAAAAGTCGTGTTGATTTTTCTTTTAAATATATATATATATATTCGTATATATATATATATATATTCGTATATATATATATATTCGTATATATATATATATACACATATACACAAGTAAAATTCATAATATATATATATATTTATAAAGACTGTATATGGGCTAATCGACCGAATCCTGCCCAGCGGAGGTGGAACGAATCAAAGCAGGTGAGGAGACAGACTACCACTTTGTGCAGAAGGTTTTGGGTCAAGCAATTGACCAGTGGAACAAAATCGTGGATGAGATGCGGGAAAGAGTCAACGATCCCGAATTTATCCTCAAGGTCTTGAACGAAGAAGCGCAAGCATTGGAGGGTGAATACGGTATGGAAACGGCAATTCATACTGTTCGCAAGCGTTTTGATGATGCCCTTCCAAGAATCGCGGTGAAGGGAACAGATGCATCAATGAGGTACCTTTGCATATTATTTTCATACACAGTTGTGAGACTGATACACTTGGAATGTCTCCCTAAGGTCCCTTTTGGGGGGCGGATGGAACCCCCCCATTGATGTGTTTTTTACATGCACACTTGTGACAATCTAACACTTGGAATATGATTATTTCTATGTTTTACTAAGCTGTTTTTTTTTTCTGGTGGATTGAACCTCCGCATTCCAAGGGTGCATGCGGCACGACTATGTCGAAAGTGTGGCATGATGCCAACTGCGAACACAAAGCCGGGGAAGCATCTACCACCAGAGCATCCCCAGATGCAAAAGGTGAGATCTTGGCTACAAGCCCAGATCCATTCCGGCCGTTGCCATGGTCAACTACTATGTAACTTTGACCAGGTATGGACTTTGATGTTCAGACCAGCCAAGTCTCTGTTGAACCAGAGAGATTCTGTGGATGAGCTCAGCAGTTCATGCAGCCTGAAGCGCCTGAGGCATTGCTTGGAAAGATGCTTGGATCTACCATTCACTGATGAGGTAGAGGTACAGAGAGAAGTGCATAGGCCTAGAATCCAAGGTGGACCCGGTGCATCAGGATCAGTTGAACAATGGCGAGCGCCACATACACTCACCACAGTCAGTTGGGCAGATGGAACCATGACACGAGGGTTTGTCACCATCAAAAGGGAGTACCTTTCGGAGTCACAGCGCGAATTGATCAACAAGGACTTTGTTTTTTTCCACATGTTCCAAAGTTTCAGTCATATTGCATACTTATACACATAGAATGATGTGTCCAAGACTGCGCCTACACACACATATAAGACTATATAATCCCTGCCTCCTAATACTAACCCCCCTTATTAAATAAACACTTCAAGTAGTTTTTATTATTAGGAAATTATATATATATATTTATTAGTAGCGAACCTTATCAATAAAACTAAACCCTTATATAATATTTTTTTCGGATTTCAAAATCAATTTAATTTCTTTATATAACGCAATTAAAATATTGCCAAAAATTGGATTTCGAAGCTTCCCCCTAATACTAAATTAAAACCCTTAATAATAACAACATATTTTTTTTCCGATTTCAAAATCGATGAAATTTCCTTATATAACGCAATTAAAAAATGCCAAAAATTGGATTTCGAAGCTTTCCACTAATACTAAATTAAAACCCTTAATAATAAAAATTATTGTTTCCGATTTCAAAATCAATTAAATTTCTTTATATAATGCAATTTAAAAAATGTTCGAAGCTTCCCCCTAATACTAAACTCAAACACTTATATAATAATAAAAACTATTTTTTTTACGATTTCAAAATCAATCAAATTTCTTTATATAACGCAATTAAAATATTGCCAAAAATTGGATTTCGAAGCTTCTCCCTAATACTAAATTAAAATCCTAATAATAATAAAAACTTTTTTTCCGATTTTAATATCAATTTAATTTCTTTATATAACGCAATCAAAATATTGTCAAAAATAGGATTTCCAGGCTTTCTCCTAATACTAAAAATGAAGGCTTGCAATGGGAGTCCTAGGGGACCAGGGGTGTGTGTGAATACGGGATGAAGAAGCATATTATCTATATATATATATATTTATTTATATTTGTTGGAATATATATATATATTAAATACTTATATCTATATTTACACAATCATACACACACAAATATATATATATATATGTACACAAATAAACTACTCTTCGCAGGAGCTGGGCAAATGGTTGCATGTGGGTCCACTTCAAGATCGGACTCACATTTGGAGTGCTTCTACAATGATTCCATTTTTGGATTTCTTTGCCCAGGAGTTGCGAGAGAGAAGGCGGCGCTTGGGACTAAGTCTAGAAGATCGAGCCCTGGTGGTGTGCGATTTTGCACCGCAACATTCAATGAAACACTTTGAGTCATTGAAGCGTGAGTGGAGTGTCCAGCACAACGCGGCCACTTGCCGTATAATCAGCGAACTGTTTCTTTTTGAAGCATGTGAATGGAGTTGACAACACCGAGGCTTTCACGAACCTCTTCCATATATATATAATATACACATATTTATATATATATACAGTATTAATATAAAATATTTCTCTATACATACATTTTCGGTTCATCCGTTTATCTCTCGAGTGCTTCCATGCGAACCGAGGAAATCATATGTGGTGATTCCCCCAGCTGTCAGATCCCAGGCGGCTGGGGTGCCGCTGGTGGTCCTAACGATGGATTCCATCAGTATTTGCACCAGTTGACAAAGGCATATCATTGTGCTGCTATCAATTGGGGATCAACATTGGAATTGCGAAGCTGCCTTGATGAGATGAATGTTTCCATTCAAGGGCATATTTCCACCAAGTATCTTGGCTGCATTGTATCCCGATTTATGTATATATATATATACAACTATATATATAAGTATAAGTATAGAGAGATATAAGAATGTGTTTGTATATACATACACAATCAGTTGTGGCAGTGGCTGAAACATTTAGAAGGCAAGGTTGAAGGCAAGCCGGGCCAAGCCTATTTGTAAATCGGCTGATGGCATTCTATGTGTTCGGGCTCTGATATTATTCGAACTAAATGACAGTCAGGTTCAGACCCAACCACAATGTTCAACAATATGCCTTGATTGGAGTGCCTAGGTCGTCGATTTTGACGTCTCTGCATGCAGACGCATACGCTATTCAAGCCTTGAACACCCTGGGGACTCTTGGATTTTAGCTGAAAAAACACTTGCTGGGATACCTGGGGCATGGGGTGATAACAACCAAAAACTATATATATATATATTGTGGGACGAGACAGGTGTTGGCGATCCAATCCTTTGTTCAGTTTATGGGGCTTAGACTTCCAGGAATGGAAAGCTGGTGTGGACATCGTGGATGAGCCGCGGATTGATCGATGAGCAAGACATCGCTATGTGGCGCTTCGGAGGTACACATTATAACAATATATATAATTATATATATATATAGAGTGAGAGAGAGGTAGAGAGAGGCATTCTATGTGTTACAGCCGCTGTGATTTCTATTTTAAAAATATATACATATATAGTCTCAAATGCCCCACAACATATTATTATAGCATTTTTTTGATATATATATATACACTACTGTGCACTAGTTCACATTGCCCCAAAGGCATCATTCTATGTGTTACATCCTCTAACATAGCACCTGAAGGTGATGTCCAGAAAGTGAGAGAGATCCTGAAGCCGGAGAAGGACATGATGCACCAATTTCTGAAGCTAGTGGAAGTGCCTGATATGACCACATCCGATGAAGAATTGGCAAAACTTGATCATCTACGTCTTGAGCCTCTTGCTGGTGAAAGGCAAATGTACTGGGCTATTCAGTCTGGCAGTGATGTATCCACTCGTCAACCCCTACCAGTTTGGATGTATTCTCCAATTTCCATGGCCTTGTTCAAATGGCTTGAGCAGAACCGAAAATGGGAAGACAGGATTGAGTTGAGAATGAGGGAAGGCAAAAACTTGGAACCAAAGAAGCAGTTGGAATATGAACAATGGTGCAAGGAATCTGGATCAATGAATTTCCTGTTCTCCAAGAAAACCAAGAAACAGGTGACCACCATTCGAAAGAATTGCGATGTCAGCAAGATCAAGGATTTTCTCTTCTCAGTCCATGTTACTTTCTCAACTGAGCCAAGCCGACTTGGCATCAAATCTGCTACGGGACCTCAGCAGCGACTGGTGATTCTGAAAGGGGAACCAGTGACAAGCAGTGATGTGCCTGAAGTTTTGGACACAGGACTACATGAGGATGCCCTGAACCATCTACATGAGAACGAGGAGAATGAGAGCAATGATGAGGGAGAAAACGAGGAGTTGAACTTCCAGGCCCCCCCACATGGTGAATTTGGTGAAGACACTGGTGAAGGCCAGGAGGAAACAAGTGACCATGAGATCTTGGCCGACAGTGATGACGAAGAAATGTGGCAGGCACTTCTGTCAAACAAGCACTCACGAGTGAAATCCTTCCATCACCGTGAGGCATATCGAAAATTAGACGAAAGAGGCTTGGCCGACATTCCACCAGTCAAGGGGTGCACATTAGTCTATCATTCAACCTCGATGCAGTGGCAGGGCTACTATCCGTCGGTGAGTTCAGGCTTGTCATGCACATGGGGCGGTGTTAGCAAGCGCAGTGAGGCTGAGGCACTTTTAAAAGTGATCATGGCTATTGTCAGAGCTCATGTGGAGAAGTGTCCGAAAGAAAAATTGTGGCTCCGCCAGCTGGAAAAGCTGAAAAATGCGGAGGCCACTGTGTTTTCCTTTTGATGTGCCGGCGTGTGTGTGTGAGCTGCAACTGGAACGCATTCTAAGTGTTACCTATATGTAAAACAAGGCACTATGTAATAGGCTACACACATAATATATATATATTGAATAAATAAATAAAGAACAAATATAAATAAATAAATAAATAAATAAATAAATAATAAATAAATAAATAACTAAATAAATAAATATACATATATATATAATATATATACAGTATATATATATACAATGATTGTGCCGTTCAGCAAAACAAGACCCATTTGCTCACACACCAGTTGCATCTCCGGATATATGCGTTCTGAGATCGTAGATGCTGTGGGGGCTGAGTTTCCCTGCCAGAAATGCAAACAGTACCATTTGCAAGTGCTAAGGCAGAGGTCCCTTGCCATGGAAAATGCCAAGATACAACATTCTAAGTGTATCATTTGATCTGTGTGTAATTGATTACGTGGTGGGAATCCAACACATAGAATATATCAACTCCACAAACATCATTGACACGCAAGTGGACGTAGGGCTGCCAATCTGTTCCTAATTCATTTCTTCCTGTATCATGCAGGCCATTTGGAAGAGGGCCATTTGTGATTTGCACAGCCTCTCATAGTGGATAGGAGCAATGGCCAAACACGTGAACACCAGGAGGCCACTATATATATATAATATGGATTTGGTTCTACTGCATGTGTATGTATTCCAAGTGTTCCACACCAGGGGGCCACTATAATATACTGATGTTGTTCTATTGCAAGTGTTTGTATTCCAAGTGTTCCTCACAATGAAATAGCATTGTGAATGTAGCTGCCCCGGTTTCCCTGGTCGTGTTGAGGCCATTTATATGCTATGACCCAAAGTGCAATCACATTCAACTTTGTGAATTCGCAATACTATATTTACGTTGGGACAATTTGTTGTACAATACATGCCTTTCCCAACAGGCAAATCCGTACATTATCGCTGGGGGGAAAAAGAAATGTACGCCGTTTCTGACAGGAGGATTGTTGCTGCATGTTCCTGCATATTTTTGAAGGCGAGAAGCCGTTTTTTTGGGGTTCTGAACAGAATTGCAAGGCGGGTTATGAAATTATGGTCAAAATAGCCATAGTAACAACACATATTGGCTGACAGATAAATACATATATATATATATATGCTGGAGAATTGAAACTCAGAAACCTATATATATATATACGCTACTATATATATATATATTATAATACAATAATATACAATACAATATAATATGATATGACATATATATAGTATAAAAATATATATTAAAAAAAATGTTGCTGGTACGTCATTCTAACAGCCCTCATTCTAAGTGTTCCACTGAAAATTTTGGAAAACAATACGTCATTCTAAGTTTCAGTTCGCTACTATATATATATATATATATATCTATATTATATATATATATGTATACACACACATGGACAATATAGACATCAGGTGAGGGGTACATATTCTAAGTGTAAAACTCATTGCATCTGAGGATGCAGGCATTCGACAAGGCAAAGGCCGACCCAAACATCGATCAGCCATATAAATATGTGCAAGACCAGAAGCTACGTGGATGGTACCGATGCTGTGTGTACAAGTGGAAAAATACACGAAAACGAGACCATTGGACGTTGCTATGTACCGCATCAGCCAAGTTGGCCAAGACCTACAAAGAGCTGCCAACGTATTGCGAAAAATGCTGGGCCATGAAATGAAATTCAGCAGAAGGACTTCGGGGGTTGATCCTGCATCCACCTGCACACTGCCATCTACCCTCCTGAATGAAGTGTCATCAATGGTGGATCCTAGTTTGAAGGAAAAAGTCGTGTTGATTTTTCTTTTATATATATATATATATATATTCGTATATATATATATATATTCGTATATATATATATATTCGTATATATATATATACACATATACACAAGTAAAATTCATATATATATATATATATTTATAAAGACTGTATATGGGCTAATCGACCGAATCCTGCCCAGCGGAGGTGGAACGAATCAAAGCAGGTGAGGAGACAGACTACCACTTTGTGCAGAAGGTTTTGGGTCAAGCAATTGACCAGTGGAACAAAATCGTGGATGAGATGCGGGAAAGAGTCAACGATCCCGAATTTATCCTCAAGGTCTTGAACGAAGAAGCGCAAGCATTGGAGGGTGAATACGGTATGGAAACGGCAATTCATACTGTTCGCAAGCGTTTTGATGATGCCCTTCCAAGAATCGCGGTGAAGGGAACAGATGCATCAATGAGGTACCTTTGCATATTATTTTCATACACAGTTGTGAGACTGATACACTTGGAATGTCTCCCTAAGGTCCCTTTTGGGGGGCGGATGGAACCCCCCCATTGATGTGTTTTTTACATGCACACTTGTGACAATCTAACACTTGGAATATGATTATTTCTATGTTTTACTAAGCTGTTTTTTTTTCTGGTGGATTGAACCTCCGCATTCCAAGGGTGCATGCGGCACGACTATGTCGAAAGTGTGGCATGATGCCAACTGCGAACACAAAGCCGGGGAAGCATCTACCACCAGAGCATCCCCAGATGCAAAAGGTGAGATCTTGGCTACAAGCCCAGATCCATTCCGGCCGTTGCCATGGTCAACTACTATGTAACTTTGACCAGGTATGGACTTTGATGTTCAGACCAGCCAAGTCTCTGTTGAACCAGAGAGATTCTGTGGATGAGCTCAGCAGTTCATGCAGCCTGAAGCGCCTGAGGCATTGCTTGGAAAGATGCTTGGATCTACCATTCACTGATGAGGTAGAGGTACAGAGAGAAGTGCATAGGCCTAGAATCCAAGGTGGACCCGGTGCATCAGGATCAGTTGAACAATGGCGAGCGCCACATACACTCACCACAGTCAGTTGGGCAGATGGAACCATGACACGAGGGTTTGTCACCATCAAAAGGGAGTACCTTTCGGAGTCACAGCGCGAATTGATCAACAAGGACTTTGTTTTTTTCCACATGTTCCAAAGTTTCAGTCATATTGCATACTTATACACATAGAATGATGTGTCCAAGACTGCGCCTACACACACATATAAGACTATATAATCCCTTCCTCCTAATACTAACCCCCCTTATTAAATAAACACTTCAAGTAGTTTTTATTATTAGGAAATTATATATATATATATTTATTAGTAGCGAACCTTATCAATAAAACTAAACCCTTATATAATAATTTTTTTCCGATTTCAAAATCAATTTAATTTCTTTATATAACGCAATTAAAATATTGCCAAAAATTGGATTTCGAAGCTTCCCCCTAATACTAAATTAAAACCCTTAATAATAACAACATATTTTTTTTCCGATTTCAAAATCGATGAAATTTCCTTATATAACGCAATTAAAAAATGCCAAAAATTGGATCTCGAAGCTTTCCACTAATACTAAATTAAAACCCTTAATAATAAAAACTATTGTTTCCGATTTCAAAATCAATTAAATTTCTTTATATAATGCAATTTAAAAAATGTTCGAAGCTTCCCCCTAATACTAAACTCAAACACTTATATAATAATAAAAACTATTTTTTTTACGATTTCAAAATCAATCAAATTTCTTTATATAACGCAATTAAAATATTGCCAAAAATTGGATTTCGAAGCTTCTCCCTAATACTAAATTAAAATCCTTATAATAATAAAAACTTTTTTTCCGATTTTAATATCAATTTCATTTCTTTATATAACGCAATCAAAATATTGTCAAAAATAGGATTTCCAGGCTTTCTCCTAATACTAAAAATGAAGGCTTGCAATGGGAGTCCTAGGGGACCAGGGGTGTGTGTGAATACGGGATGAAGAAGCATATTATCTATATATATATATTTATTTATATTTGTTTGAATATATATATATATTAAATACTTATATCTATATTTACACAATCATACACACACAAATATATATATATATATGTACACAAATAAACTACTCTTCGCAGGAGCTGGGCAAATGGTTGCATGTGGGTCCACTTCAAGATCGGACTCACATTTGGAGTGCTTCTACAATGATTCCATTTTTGGATTTCTTTGCCCAGGAGTTGCGAGAGAGAAGGCGGCGCTTGGGACTAAGTCTAGAAGATCGAGCCCTGGTGGTGTGCGATTTTGCACCGCAACATTCAATGAAACACTTTGAGTCATTGAAGCGTGAGTGGAGTGTCCAGCACAACGCGGCCACTTGCCGTATAATCAGCGAACTGTTTCTTTTTGAAGCATGTGAATGGAGTTGACAACACCGAGGCTTTCACGAACCTCTTCCATATATATATAATATACACATATTTTATATATATATATACAGTATTAATATAAAATATTTCTCTATACATACATTTTCGGTTCATCCGTTTATCTCTCGAGTGCTTCCATGCGAACCGAGGAAATCATATGTGGTGATTCCCCCAGCTGTCAGATCCCAGGCGGCTGGGGTGCCGCTGGTGGTCCTAACGATGGATTCCATCAGTATTTGCACCAGTTGACAAAGGCATATCATTGTGCTGCTATCAATTGGGGATCAACATTGGAATTGCGAAGCTGCCTTGATGAGATGAATGTTTCCATTCAAGGGCATATTTCCACCAAGTATCTTGGCTGCATTGTATCCCGATTTATGTATATATATATATATACAACTATATATATAAGTATAGAGAGAGATATAAGAATGTGTTTGTATATACATACACAATCAGTTGTGGCAGTGGCTGAAACATTTAGAAGGCAAGGTTGAAGGCAAGCCGGGCCAAGCCTATTTGTAAATCGGCTGATGGCATTCTATGTGTTCGGGCTCTGATATTATTCGAACTAAATGACAGTCAGGTTCAGACCCAACCACAATGTTCAACAATATGCCTTGATTGGAGTGCCTAGGTCGTCGATTTTGACGTCTCTGCATGCAGACGCATACGCTATTCAAGCCTTGAACACCCTGGGGACTCTTGGATTTTAGCTGAAAAAACACTTGCTGGGATACCTGGGGCATGGGGTGATACCAACCAAAAACTATATATATATATATTGTGGGACGAGACAGGTGTTGGCGATCCAATCCTTTGTTCAGTTTATGGGGCTTAGACTTCCAGGAATGGAAAGCTGGTGTGGACATCGTGGATGAGCCGCGGATTGATCGATGAGCAAGACATCGCTATGTGGCGCTTCGGAGGTACACATTATAACAATATATATAATTATATATATATATAGAGTGAGAGAGAGGTAGAGAGAGGCATTCTATGTGTTACAGCCGCTGTGATTTCTATTTTAAAAATATATACATATATAGTCTCAAATGCCCCACAACATATTATTATAGCATTTTTTTGATTATATATATACACTACTGTGCACTAGTTCACATTGCCCCAAAGGCATCATTCTATGTGTTACATCCTCTAACATAGCACCTGAAGGTGATGTCCAGAAAGTGAGAGAGATCCTGAAGCCGGAGAAGGACATGATGCACCAATTTCTGAAGCTAGTGGAAGTGCCTGATATGACCACATCCGATGAAGAATTGGCAAAACTTGATCATCTACGTCTTGAGCCTCTTGCTGGTGAAAGGCAAATGTACTGGGCTATTCAGTCTGGCAGTGATGTATCCACTCGTCAACCCCTACCAGTTTGGATGTATTCTCCAATTTCCATGGCCTTGTTCAAATGGCTTGAGCAGAACCGAAAATGGGAAGACAGGATTGAGTTGAGAATGAGGGAAGGCAAAAACTTGGAACCAAAGAAGCAGTTGGAATATGAACAATGGTGCAAGGAATCTGGATCAATGAATTTCCTGTTCTCCAAGAAAACCAAGAAACAGGTGACCACCATTCGAAAGAATTGCGATGTCAGCAAGATCAAGGATTTTCTCTTCTCAGTCCATGTTACTTTCTCAACTGAGCCAAGCCGACTTGGCATCAAATCTGCTACGGGACCTCAGCAGCGACTGGTGATTCTGAAAGGGGAACCAGTGACAAGCAGTGATGTGCCTGAAGTTTTGGACACAGGACTACATGAGGATGCCCTGAACCATCTACATGAGAACGAGGAGAATGAGAGCAATGATGAGGGAGAAAACGAGGAGTTGAACTTCCAGGCCCCCCCACATGGTGAATTTGGTGAAGACACTGGTGAAGGCCAGGAGGAAACAAGTGACCATGAGATCTTGGCCGACAGTGATGACGAAGAAATGTGGCAGGCACTTCTGTCAAACAAGCACTCACGAGTGAAATCCTTCCATCACCGTGAGGCATATCGAAAATTAGACGAAAGAGGCTTGGCCGACATTCCACCAGTCAAGGGGTGCACATTAGTCTATCATTCAACCTCGATGCAGTGGCAGGGCTACTATCCGTCGGTGAGTTCAGGCTTGTCATGCACATGGGGCGGTGTTAGCAAGCGCAGTGAGGCTGAGGCACTTTTAAAAGTGATCATGGCTATTGTCAGAGCTCATGTGGAGAAGTGTCCGAAAGAAAAATTGTGGCTCCGCCAGCTGGAAAAGCTGAAAAATGCGGAGGCCACTGTGTTTTCCTTTTGATGTGCCGGCGTGTGTGTGTGAGCTGCAACTGGAACGCATTCTAAGTGTTACCTATATGTAAAACAAGGCACTATGTAATAGGCTACACACATAATATATATATATTGAATAAATAAATAAAGAACAAATATAAATAAATAAATAATAAATAAATAAATAATAAATAAATAATAAATAAATAAATAACTAAATAAATAAATATACATATATATATATAATATATATACAGTATATATATATATATACAATGATTGTGCCGTTCAGCAAAACAAGACCCATTTGCTCACACACCAGTTGCATCTCCGGATATATGCGTTCTGAGATCGTAGATGCTGTGGGGGCTGAGTTTCCCTGCCAGAAATGCAAACAGTACCATTTGCAAGTGCTAAGGCAGAGGTCCCTTGCCATGGAAAATGCCAAGATACAACATTCTAAGTGTATCATTTGATCTGTGTGTAATTGATTACGTGGTGGGAATCCAACACATAGAATATATCAACTCCACAAACATCATTGACACGCAAGTGGACGTAGGGCTGCCAATCTGTTCCTAATTCATTTCTTCCTGTATCATGCAGGCCATTTGGAAGAGGGCCATTTGTGATTTGCACAGCCTCTCATAGTGGATAGGAGCAATGGCCAAACACGTGAACACCAGGAGGCCACTATATATATATAATATGGATTTGGTTCTACTGCATGTGTATGTATTCCAAGTGTTCCACACCAGGGGGCCACTATAATATACTGATGTTGTTCTATTGCAAGTGTTTGTATTCCAAGTGTTCCTCACAATGAAATAGCATTGTGAATGTAGCTGCCCCGGTTTCCCTGGTCGTGTTGAGGCCATTTATATGCTATGACCCAAAGTGCAATCACATTCAACTTTGTGAATTCGCAATACTATATTTACGTTGGGGCAATTTGTTGTACAATACATGCCTTTCCCAACAGGCAAATCCGTACATTATCGCTGGGGGGAAAAAGAAATGTACGCCGTTTCTGACAGGAGGATTGTTGCTGCATGTTCCTGCATATTTTTGAAGGCGAGAAGCCGTTTTTTTGGGGTTCTGAACAGAATTGCAAGGCGGGTTATGAAATTATGGTCAAAATAGCCATAGTAACAACACATATTGGCTGACAGATAAATACATATATATATATATATGCTGGAGAATTGAAACTCAGAAACCTATATATATATATATACGCTACTATATATATATATTATAATACAATAATATACAATACAATATAATATGATATGACATATATATAGTATAAAAATATATATTAAAAAAAATGTTGCTGGTACGTCATTCTAACAGCCCTCATTCTAAGTGTTCCACTGAAAATTTTGGAAAACAATACGTCATTCTAAGTTTCAGTTCGCTACTATATATATATATAGTTGTTTCCTTTTTGCTCAGACTTGGTGGGTGGGATACTTGGATTTTGATAGTTTTTGCAATTTGGAAGTTGTTTTTTCCCCAGTGAGTGGACTGCAAGTAAATCAGACACTCAACAAGGATTCAAAAGGGAATGAGGTAAGTCGATGAAAAAACATGACCGTTGCTTGGTTTGAGGAATGTATCGTTAGATCACAAACTCATGTCCACGTGTGAACGTAACAACCCTCCCTCCGGCAAATCCACTTCACGCAGCCATTTGGTTCCAAGCCTCTGCCGGCACTAGATTGCTTGCGCGGAGATGTTGTATTTGCTTTTATCAGATGCTCGCTTGGCGAATCAAAATTTCATGTCACGATTGTCACGGCCAAACCTCTTGAATAGTCCAAGGCCAAGTGTGAAACAAACCAGAAAAAACAAAGTGAAGGTGTATCAGGTATAGACTTGCAACCCCCACAGATTTGATTTCAGCATTGTCTGCAGCGGGACCACCGGCCAGTTGGCCACTGCTGGCCACTGCTGGCTTGTAGGAGGTGCCAAGTTCCTGTTCTGCAACCTGGGGAGTCCACCGATTTTCGATTTCAATTTTGGAGGATTTAGGACACCGGGAACATGCTCAGACCGTTCAGATTAAAGTTTGCCAGTTTTGTTGGCATCGGAGTGTTGGCCAAACTGGCCTCGTTGCCAGAACTGCCATGTACCAATTCATAGGTTTCAAATACGTGGGGGTACCCCCAAATTACCCCCAAATCATCCAACTTTCATGGGATTTTCATCCAAAAACCATCCAGATGACTTAGGGGTACCCTGATGACTTAGAAAACCATCACCGTGTGCAGGTGATCATTTCAGCGTCATGGAGACAGGGCTCGCGGAGAAACGGATCCGCATAGAGATTTGCATCTCTGATGTGAAATGGATGGGAAATAGGGGTTTCCTAAGTCATGGGGGTACTGGATGTTTTTTTGGATGAACAACATTAAACTCGGATGATTTGGGGTACCCCCATGGATTGGAAACCCCAAATCTGCATGCATGATAGGCCGTGATAGGCGAAACGGAAGTGTCCTTCAAAGAGACAAAGTTTTGCTGTTCAAGATTCCTTCTCGTTCGTGCTTGGCTAGATGAACTAGCCAGATTTTTGGTAAGTCAGTGTGGGGGCAAAAGGGAATTGACTTGGCTGTCAAACGCTTGCTCCCTTTCTAATTGCTTTCCCTTGTTCTTTTCTATCTCACTCTCTTACTCTCTCACTCTCTGATAGGGAAACATTTTGGTGCGTTCCCTTTCGTCTGAGAATTTCAAGAGAGAATTTCTATGTTCAGTTTATTCATTTTTGGGTTCGTTGCTTTCCACCAGAGGCAACGATTCGGACAAAAAGTTTTTGTTCGATGGCGACTGGTTGCGAGCTGGGGTTCCTCGGCGTCGAGGGAGTCGACAGGTTTTGGAGTTCAGCCTCTCGCTTCACCCAGCAGAAAACACCCAGCACAACTAAAAGATGGTTTTGTACAAATTATATAAACTAATATAAACTCATATAAACTCATATAAACCATAACTTATTACAAATTCCCAACACCATTCCAACCGTTTTGTATTTCGAGTCCGTCCTCCATAATTGTGCAAGAGAGTGTTTTTTTTTTAATGGATGGGGTGGCGGATCCTGCAGGATTGGAAATCCGAGAAGACACAGGCTGGGCCGGGCGGATCAAATCGCACACACTCCGAAAGGCATCCCAGGATCCCAGGATGGTTCACACGCAATTTCTTTTTGAAATTTAGTCCTTCAAAGATCTTCAAACTAGTCTTGGCAAAACAAACAACACATAAAACACCAAACAACAGAGGGATCTTATTTCGCGACTGGCCTGACCTAGGCAATTGAAGCGGAGAGCTCGAGTGTCATTGAGTTCCAAGGCTCAAATTCATCCCCGCATTGTGGAGGAAAGGTCCAAGGGAATCATACATCTTGAATTGTTTGAAGGGTCGAGGATACACGCCATTGTACACCTGCACCCCTTGTTCTCATTGTATCTCATTGTTTGGTCTAGCTTTGCTTGGTGCTGCAGTGCTACCTGGATATTGAGATTGGTCAAAATCTGAGGTTCAAGTCAACAGAAGTGCTGGGGGTGTCTGGTGTTGTGTGGTACGTCGACAGCGAGGAGAAGATGCCACAGTTGCCGCAACGTATGAGCAATAAGTCCAAATTCCCTTCATGTAAGAAATGCAGGTAGGTGACTCCAGCCGACTTAAATAACTATGAAAACTATGATATGAGATTCCATGAGCCTATGAAGCTCACAAAGTGTGATTTTGCCCAGCTCCAGCATGGATTTCAGTGTCTTCAGCGTCCACAGTTGTGAGGAGAAGGATGTTTATTTGTCTCTGGCAACAGTCCTAGTACGCTGGAAGAGAGAGAGAGAGAGAGAATACACAGAGCAGTGACTGTGTGCATTTTGATGTTTCTTTCTTGTGAGGCCTTTACAAATCCAAGGCTGCAGGAGCCGACTTTCGTAACTTGGAGACATGGAAAGACAAGTGTAGATTTATGTAGATTTTCTGAGAGATCAGAACACGCATTTCTTTCCAGGGCCTTGTTGAAAGATGATGACAGTTCTTGGCACCCTGACTAACACTGACAGGCATGTTTCATCGGAGTGCCACCGCCGGATCTGACACTTGGCGGAAGGACAAGAGTCTTTTTGCTCCAACAGGCATCACAAATGCCTGGCTAAAGATGAGTCATGGTTGAAACAAATAGACAGGGTGCCTGGAGAGTGCCTGGAGAGTGCGGATCTTGCAGTCGCAGTCGATGATTTCCTGAAGCCTGCAAAGTGCTTCCCAAGGAAGGCAGAGCTCGACCGTGCTCCCAACCTGAAGCAGGCCTGGCACATGGTGCAAGATTCCACAGAGGCAGATGCCAAAAGCATGACGTGGATTTTTGTAACGCCACTGCAGGGGGAGACCTATTATGGTTGGACTTCGGCCAAGGTTCCACAGTGCCAGAGAGACTTCGAAAATTTACTGACACGTTATCCATCCCTTCAAGATCATGTGAGTGAATCAGTGCATTCATGTGTAATTATTCTGCATTCTGTATTCATGTGCCAAGCCCATAGAGATGAAACTTCTGTGCAGGAGGGTAATCTGATAGATGCTCGCCAGCATTAACTGCGAGGTAGCTCGAAGCCATCGCACGAAGTTGACAGCCTTGTGGGCAGCGCGGTGGTTCACAAGTCCTTTGAACCCCAGCCAACAAAATCGAATGCTTCAGACTTGCGACCATGGACTGATGGACTAAGGTAATGAAGGCTGCTTGGATGCAAGTCGAAGTTGGATACTACACAAACAGAAATGCACTTTAGATACTTTGAATAGTTTCATCGGTGAGGACATCATGTGGTGGTGCCCCGAAGAATCTGGGAGTTTCAAGCCTCAGGTCACAATCTTCGCGGGAGACTTCCCACACTTTGTGCCGCCTACCGCAGCCAGCATGGCAGAAACGCCAGAGACGCCAGAGGAGCAGCCGTCAGCAGATGTGGCAGATATGGAGCCGTCTGCGCCACCATTGTTAGAGTGGACGATGATCTCGACACCACCAGCTGAGACCACAACTCTCTGCAACGTGGCTGGATTTGGAGCTTCCAAGGCTGTCTGATGCGTTCTGCTTTGTGGCTTCATGCATTGCTTTTCATGCTTTTCATGCTTTTCGCAACTTAAGGCACCACAAGTTCTCCACAGGAGCAAACGAGGTAAACGAGGTTTGAGCTGAAAGGCAATCTTCACTGCAGTCCTGCAGTCCTCAGGAATTGAATGATGAAGTCAATGAAGTGACAAGTGCTGACCGTTCCATGATGCTAGCGGCGCAGGAGACTCAAAAGGCCCCTGCCAGCGCAACCGATTCTCCACAAGATGTGTGGAGCCTATTCCTGTGGGCCTATGGCCTATCATCTGAATCGCTTTGATGGCCAAATTTGGCCATGTGACACTGTAGTCCACGTTACCACGTTGAGTTTCATCTCAGGCATTAACCCTGCAGGGTTTGAACCACAACACTGCAAGCCACCAGCAGTCACTGCCACAGCTGCAGCTCCAAAGGCTCCAAAGAACAACTTGCAACAGTACCAACAGCAGTCCTCCACCATCCTCATAACATCAACTACAGCAGCAACAACAACCACAACAACAACGGCAGCACGAACACGAACACCAATGTGAACGCGAACGCGACGACGATCACGAATACGAAAAGCAGCAGCGGCAACAACAACAACAACAACAAGAAGAAGAAGAAGAAGAAGAAGAAGAGGAAAAAGGAGAAGAAGAAGAAGAAGAAGAAAAAGAAGAAACAAAATAAGAAAAAGGAGAGGAGCAACAGCAACGACAGCAACAGCAACAGCAACAACCACAACCAACACCGACGCATCGTACTTTGGGGCCCCAAGGAAGAGGATTCCGCCTGGGATCACGTGAGTCAAGCGGCTCAAGAGTTCTTGGACGTGACAAGGCCCAAGGCGCAGCACATGCGCAAGCCGGCAAATCATGAAAGGTTCAAGGCTCGAAAAATCTGACTGCCACATGATGGATGCCCATGTCATTTGTAGGATGCAGTGGATGGCTTGTGGTGGCCTGGTTGCATTAAATCTTATTGTCAAATCTTATTCACGAGTGTGGCTCAGGAGCGGCTTGTCAGTAGCCACCAAAGGGGTTGCAGCCGGATTTGTCTCCTTTGTTGCATGCTCAGCGGCCGGCTTTGAGATAGCAGGTGGGCAAATCGGCGCCAAATCACTGGCATTGCACTGATTCTCACTGATTCTCAATTCAATGCATTTCAATATGCATTTCAATGCCATTGAATTCTCAGGCCCATTTCAAGCATCATGACAGTGTTTGGACTGTTTGGAAGGATAAAGATAGCCCAGGTATGCCCAGGTCGAGTTCTGCGGCATTGCGACAGGTTTGTGGGGTCTCGTCAGGGGCAGCTCTGCTGGTCTCTACAGTGCTAGTGCCATTGCGACCACTGGCACCGTTTGTGGCCTGGCTGTCAACAGGAGAGCACCTGCATCGCATCTGTGTTACGGAAAAAAACGTGGAAACCTCATCAATTCCAATTTTATTAATATTTCATTAAGACAGTATGCGCATCTGCCATGGTCCTTACACAGCAGTATACTTATACACTTTCTGCCAGTGCTACGACCTGCGCGTGCGAGGTGGCGTGGGTCAGTTTGGACGTGGTTTGTACAACACACCAGAAGCCCTTCGTGCTCGACAAGAGCAACAGGTGTGGGATCGCGACCGTGGACGATGGGCTTCTCGCCGGTAAAGCCCATCCCACAAAGAATTGGGCGTCACTATATACCTGGTACCAGCACTATAACCTACATAACTTCTATAGTAAATTCTATAAGTCTAACATAGACCCGGGCAAGCCGGCGGCGGAAGTTTCCCAAACATAAATGACCTATAGTTCAAAGACACCCTGTCCCGACCGTGTCCTTCCCTCGACACTCACACCTCACACTGCACACTGCACTCGTCGCACTCCAAACAAGCGTCAGCCACCCCAAACACTTCACACCTCCCACATTCACACTTCGCACTGCTTCCTTCACACTCCAAAACCTCACCACTTCACACTTCACACTGCACACTTCACACTTCACAGTCCACACTTCACACTTCACAATTCACAGTCCACACTTCACACTTCACACTTCACAGTCCACACTTCTCACTTCGCACTTCACACTTCACACTTCACACTCCACATTTCACACTTCTCACTTCTCACTGCTTCCTTCACACTGCATGATCCAAACAATGGCGGCCGGAACATGCACAATTCGCACACAGCACTGCCTCAGGATATACACATGCACTGCCTCATTGCATTTGCCAAGCTTTGGTGTTTGCAAGCAGCCAAAATCTGAAAAAAATCTCACTTCACACTTCACACTCCACACTTCACACTTCTCACTTCTCACTGCTGCCTTCACGCTCCAGACCTCACACTTCACACTTCACACTTCACAATCCACACTTCACACTTCTCACTTCTCACTGCTTCCTTCCCACTCCAAACTCCACACTTCACACTTCTCACTTCGCACTTCACACTTCGCACTTCACACTTCACAGTCCACACTTCACCAGTTCCGACTCTTCTCACTTCTCACTTCGCACTTCACAATTCACACTTTCACACTAAACATTTTCACATGTCTCACTCTACCGTGCTTTCCATTACACAATGCCTGACAACAACAGGGCGGCAAGGAACAATGCACAAGTCGCACACATCACTCCCTCAGGAATACCAACAGGCCTCATTGACATTTGCCAAGAGCTTTGGTGTTGCACGCAGCAAAATCGGAAAAAAATCTCAACTCCACATTCAGACACCACACTCCACCTTTGCACTTCTCATTGCTGCCTTCACGATCAGATGCCTCCACACTTCACCTTCACACTTCACAATCACAGCTTCACACTTCTCACTTCTCACTGCTTCCTTCCCACTCCAAACTCCACACTTCACACTTCTCACTTCGCACTTCACACTTCACAGTCCACACTTCACACTTCTCACTTCTCACTGCTTCCTTCCCACTCCAAACTCCACACTTCACACTTCTCACGTCGCACTTCACACTCCACAGTTCACACTTCACAGTCCACACTTCACACTTCTCACTGCTTCCTTCACACTCCAAACTTCACACTTCACACTGCACTCTTCACGCTCCACACTTCACACTGCACTCTTCACACTCCACATTTCATCTCATCTGAGCTCTTCTCACCTTATCCCAGCTCATCTCTTCTCATCTAGTCCCTTCTCATATGTCATCTATTAAGCTTTCATTATAATTCCCAGCACTACTACTAATCACTGTCGCACCCTTGATGCACCCACTCCAATGCGATTTAAGCTGCAAAAGACAATAGTATTGCGCATGCAGCCACAGCACGAAGCAACCTTGACGCAGCCATTACAATGCGATCTGCGGAGACTGAGTTGCAAAGCACAATAGAACTACGCGCAACGGCGTCGGAAATTGTAGCTCCAAAACCGGACCTCGACGCCAGAGCGAAAAAAAGACGATTTTGATACACTTTTTAAAAGGATTTTTAGAAGGAAAAGCACTAGCGCCAAAATGGAGAAAATCTCCTGACAAATCACTGTCGCAGCCTTCATGCAGCCACTCCAATACGATTTACGAGATCCAGCTGCAAAAGACAATAGTATTACGAATGCAACCACAGCACGAAGCAACTTTGACGCAGCCATTACAATGCAATCTGCAGAGACTGAGTTGCAAAAGACAATAGAACTACGCGCAACGGCGTCGGAAATTGTAGCTCCAAAACCGGATCTCGACGCCAGAGCGGAAAAAAAACGATTTTGAAGCACTTTTTAAAAAGATTTTTAGAAGGAAAATCACTAGCGCCAAAATGAAGAAAATCTGCTGACAAATCACTGTCGCAGCCTTCATGCAGCCACTCCAATACGATTTACGAAGTCCAGCTGCAAAAGACAATAGTATTACGCATGCAGCCAAAGCAGGAAGCAACCTTGCAATCCCATTTACATTGCGGGAAGGATACTACAGTTGCAAATCACAATGGAATTCCATTGGCAACTCATCCCCCAGCGCCACTTGCAATCCCATTTACATTGCGGGAACGATCCTACAGTTGCAATTCACAATGGAATTCTGTCGACCGCACATAGACGAAACACAGTTGAAACCCCATTTACAATGCGGAACCGATCCGAGACCGATCCGACCATGATCCGACCACGATCCGACCATGATCCGACCATGATCCGACCACACACGAGACCGTCTCGCACCCGTCGCACCGCAGAGGTAGATCATCGAGGTTCGGGGACAGACTTTGTATGGAAACACATAGGGTTTCGTGCATCTGCTATCTCAAAAACGCATTTCGTGCGAGACTACGAATGCAACCACAGCCATTACAATGCAATCTGCAGAGACTGAGTTGCAAAAGACAATAGAACTACGCGCATTGGAGTGCGGAAATTGTAGCTCCAAAACCGGATCTCGACGCCAGAGCGAAAAAAAAAGATTTTGAAGCACTTTTTAAAAAGATTTTTAGAAGGAAAATCACTAGCGCCAAAATGAAGAAAATCTGCTGACAAATCACTGTCGCAGCCTTCATGCAGCCACTCCAATACGATTTACGAGATCCAGCTGCAAAAGACAATAGTATTACGTATGCAGCCAAAGCAGGAAGCAACCTTGCAATCCCATTTACATTGCGGGAAGGATACTACAGTTGCAAATCACAATGGAATTCCATTGGCAACTCATCCACCAGCGCCACTTGCAATCACATTTACATTGCGGGAACGATCCTACAGTTGCAATTCACAATGGAATTCTGTCGACCGCACATAGACGAAACACAGTTGAAACCCCATTTACAATGCGGAACCGATCCGAGACCGATCCGACCATGATCCGACCATGATCCGAGGATGATCCGACCACACACGAGACCGTCTCGCACCCGTCGCACAGCAGAGGTAGATCATCGACGTTCGGGGACGCACTTTGTATGGAAAAACATAGGCTTTCGTGCATCTGCTATCTCTCAAAAACGCATTTCGTGCGAGACTTCCTTCAAAACTCCATCGGCAACTCATCCACCAGCACCACTTGCAATCCCATTTGCATTGCGGGAACAATCAATGCCCTAACTAACTCTTGCTTTAACTAACCCTTTCCCTGACGAACTCTTTCTTTGCTAACTCTTTCTTTGACTACCTCATATATCCTGACTAACTCTGTCTTTGACAAACTCTTTCCCTGACTAACTGTTTCTTTGACTAACTCTTTTTTTGACTAACTGTTTCCCTGACTAACTGTTTGGAAGGATACTACAGTTGCAAATCACAATGGAATTCCATTGGCAACTCATCCACCAGCGCCACTTGCAATCCCATTTACATTGCGGGAACGATCCTACAGTTGCAATTCACAATGGAATTCTGTCGACCGCACATAGACG